TTCTCAGACGTTTAGACTGTTGTTAAAAGAAGAGGGGATGCTACACAATGGTAGACACGGCCCTGTCCCAACTTTTTTGAGATGTATTCCTGCCATCAAGTTCTAAATGAGTTAATGTTTTTCATGAAATGGTAAAATGTCTCACTTTCAACATCTGATATGTGCTCTATGTTCTATTGTGAATAAAATATGGGTCTATGAGATTTGCAAATCATTGCATTCTGTTTTTATTTACATTTATTTACATTTTACACAGCGCCCAACTCTTTTGGAATTAGGGTTGTACATAAGGTAGAAAGGTCCCCTTAGCTTTCTACCTCGTCCATCAATATATCTAGCGGCAGCTATGTCAGTTAACCTAAACAGAAAGCTTTATAGAGACAATAGCAACTGAACTCTCATTTAAAACCTGTAACAATACTTTAAACAAAAATAAGAATCATGAGGTTCATAAAACATAATTACATGTGCATAGTTTACTTAATATAAATGGAACTTGTTCTAGCCATTCCTGGCCTTGGTTTCCCCAAAGCATTGTATTGTCTAGATCATGTTCTTCGAGTTCGATGCAACACTTGCTCTACCACTTTACAACGTTCATGCTCTGACGCTTTTTTGAAACTCATTCATGTGTAGTAATCTGTCAGGGAGAGCATGGCTGCAGATGCACATTGGCTCACAGGCTAAATCAAAGCCATGTGCTGCTAATGCCTTCTTTTATACATGTCTCTTATGTGAGTAGGCCAATTAGTCTGTGTGTTCTTGGTCAGGGAGTAAGGTCAAACTCAGTATGTAGACTGCAGATTGGCCTGGATTTTGAACATAGGAGTTTGAGTCAATACCAGCACTGACTGGTCAATATATATAGGTTACTAATAGAAACAGTAATAGCTGACCCAGTTTTACAGCAGCTGTGATGTTGTGTTTGGTTTTACACATACAGTAGAGCTTTGATACAGCTGGAGACATTTACTGTAGTAAAAGAGACCACCCTTCATTTATTCCAGCCAAACGACCATTAAGTACAAATTATTCTGAGAAGATCAGACATAAAATAATCCAGTTGTTTAAAAAAGGGGAAAGTCAAAGGAAAACAAGTGAAAAAAACAAGAGTTTCCAAAACCGGAGTTAAAATGTTTTGGAATGTACAGAGAAAATCACACTCCTAACAACTGTGCAAGAGCTGGTAGACCACCACAACGGTTTCCAACAGATAAACAGCACTTAAAGCTTTCATCTTTGAGAGAAAGGAGTTGTGTAAGTTGTGTGTTTCTGTCCATCCTTCCAATGTGAGAAGACAACTCAGCGCTATTAGTCTGAAAAGATGCATAGCTCTCAAGAAGCCTCACTGAGAAAAGAAGATAGAACAATGTACTGACCACCCCAGAATCCAGACCTCAACATCACTGAATGTGTCTGAAATTTCCTGGATTGTGAGAAGCAGAAAGTGGAACCAACTTCTAAGGCTGAACTTTGGAGGTGTGAAAATTATCCCTGCAAATTTCTCTGAAAAACAGAAAGTGAAAAATGAATAGCTTGCACTTAAAGTCCTTTTTTTTACTGATAATTTAAGAAATGAAAGGTGGTCTCTGATTTTTGTACAATACTGTACATCTTCAATACATTCTAGGCACATATAAAAAATCCATAATCAAGTCGCTAATTAATTAAACATACGTAGGCCGATGCTCACAAACGCACAGAGGCACACAGACTGTTCACTGGTTTGGCTCTAGGGAAGGGCCTTACAGAGCTAGGTGCACACTGAGACTTGCCTCTGCAAACACTCATCTCTGGAACTCAAACAGACCCCTCTCATTACTCTAGAGGGCCAGCTCACTGTCACAACACGCTGTTTGAAAATTCTGTGAAATCATTACACCACAATTTTTTTGTGCTCTGTTCTGCAATGATGGTGAAGGAGCACCTGACACAGGGTAAGGTAGGTAGGTAAACAGGTTTAAGTAGAACAAACATAGAACAAACATTACGCCACCGTCGCATGTTCCCATAGTATCCTCATCTGTTCCACAGCAATCAGCCAGATATTTCCACGATTTGCCACGTAGACTGTTTTGGTACCAAGAAAGCAATATTTTTTCATGGATCAAGTTTTTATCACCACTACTTTAACGAAATCTGAGTCAATACGTTTCTCTACAATTAACCATGTCACATTAAACCACTCTAACTGATTCTGTTTACATGTTAAAGAATGAATTATGCAGAAAATCTGAAAAATTGGTAGAATTCCCCTTTAATTCTTGGAGAGAGAGCGATACTTTCTCCTTTGTTTTATGTACAGTCTGGTTTGGATGCACGTTTAATTCACATGAAAAAGTATGTTGGCAGACAAATATATGAATGTTTGCACATGTTCACAGATACACACGGGTAGACGTATAGTTCTGCCTTTAAGGGGCAAGACCTTTTTTCTTTTTCTTCTTTTTTTTAGTTTTTAGATCAGAGTTTGCCCTTTTTGCCTTACTGTCTACGGTTGTAGATTTCTAAATATTAATGAAGGGAACTAGTCCTGGACTGAAACTAAAAGGCGCTTGAGTGTTTATCTGAGACTATTAAGTCTGCCTGTTCAACATTTGACTCTTGAAACACAAACTCAGATCCAGCAGCTGCTAATAATGGCAGGTTTTGATTTTGTCACATTGACTGGGGAAAGTATTTTTCATAAATTGGGCCAGACATCGGCGTCCTGATTGGTTGAATTCAAACTGACACCTATTTAAACCAATCAATCATAAAGAATTAGAGATCAAGTAAGGTTTATATATATTACTTTTATTGCCATATATGTAGGCATTAAATGTCTTTTTTCAGTAAGTGTTTTGTTTTTTTACTATGATAGGCTAATAAAAGTTCAAATAAAAATATGTTGTTTAATGGAGCCAAATATGAAAGTAACTCGTATCTCTGCCACATTTCTGACCATTCAAAGAATGCAAAACCACCCACACGTATAATTCAGAACACTTCAACCGCTGTTGTGCGAAACAACATACATTATTTTGAAAAAGAGCAATCCTCAAATTGAATATGGAAATCTCTCTTCAACTTCATTGCTGTAGCTCCCCAGGACAGATCTCCACCACCTCAGAATACCCCTACACAGTTATGGCAGCAGTGACAGGTGGTGGGGGTGTTAATGGGCAAGGCTTTAGAAAATGTAACCTGGCATATTTTTGTATAGTTTACATTTATTTTATACATATTGACTCCCCAATAAAAGACACTTGAAATAAATGATTAAAGAACAAATATGTTCAACATCCAGGTTTTGCTGTAATAATCTGCTGTAAATGTAATTTAATTATAATGCAATTGTTCTTTTCCATCTAATTAGGAGCGGAATAATTATATACTTGAGTTAATGGGTGACTAGCAACCATTAAGACACACAGAAGCACTTCTTAGCTCAGAACTACAGCTGGAGAAACATTATCCTTGACAGTTGTGATATTGCCTGGAAACATAGTTTCTTCTCCTAGAATGTGTTCAGACCTCATTCAGTGCGTTTCAAACACATACCAACCATTTTCCTCTACTTTCTTAAAAAATAAAATGCCAAAGGAGTTATTCAGAGTGATACTATGAAAGGGACATTTTTGGTTGCCTAAAGCAGTGGTTCTAAAACTAGTCTTCAGAGCCTTAGAGATTGAGTAAACAAAATTCCATTTTCCTCAGTAGTTCACATCACAGTGGGTGGCATACCGGTTCATCCAGTACTGGTTCATTCAGTTCATGCTAAAACTCTTCTGCAGGTGGATGTTTTGTCATAACCGTTATAGTGGTTTGCCATAAATAAGTGCAGATAGCATGATAAATAATAATGGAAATGCAACAGACCTTCAATCACCTCCTGGCCTCTAGTTCACTGCATGTGAACTAGTCCACCATGTTTTTGAGGCAGCGAACATATAAAAGAATGTTGTGGGGTTAGCCTTAGCCTGACATGGACACCAAAGTGACTGCCTCTCGTACTGCCTGAGAAGCTAACCTGGTCAGCCACGTCAGAACAAAGACATGGTTTCAGGGCCTAATATTTTATACCAGTGCTACAATATAACTGCTGCTCCACTTAAGGTCCAATGTAAAATTCAGACGAAAAGCTGCCGAATAAAAAGCCAACTTCAGACTTGTAGAAATTTAGACGTATACCATATATACTGGTATACGTAGTTGATATATACATATATATATATATATATATATATACATGTATGTCACTGTTGTTGGAAGAAAACCTTGTATCTCCAAAATAGTAACTTTACAGGAGACGGAGAAACCTACTTTACCTTTAATGGAAGTCAATCGAACCAGACTTTTTGTCCAAATTTTGGGCCACTTTTTTGGTCCATTCATCATGGAATTTATGCACAATGTAAAGGGCCACAGCCATTTCCAAATTATGTCAAAAACTGAAAAATGAAAAAAATGGAGATGTGGTTTTCTTCCAGCAGCGATATATATAAATATATATAATGTGTGTGTGTGCGTGTGCGTGTGTGTGTTGTGAAAATGTCTATAAGTAATTTGATATATTTTGTCATATCACACAAACCTCAGTGAAAGTAAATCTAAGCAGTCATTTTGAGTGGGCCAAAGATAGAAGTAGGCCCACAAATATAGCAACGTCACTGAGTGCAAGTGTGACAAAGCTTTTTAAATTTTCAAGACCCCTCCACATAATGTAAAGGTTCTTTACCGAATCTGACAAGATGGATTTTACCAGTACCAGTCCAAAACTTCTTCATATCACGGGAATCAAGCCTTGAGGAACAATATCTCCATTATTACCCAGCAGACAACACAGCATTTCTCAACAGAGCAAGATCTTCATTAAAGATTTACTCCACTGTCTGGGAGTGAAATACACATTTCCTCTCAGTGGTAAGGAAATCCCTCAGTCACCCCAGGAGCTCAGTAAAGCTTCTGAGATGAAGAGAGAGAGTAAAGGATGATGTAAACAGAGGAAGCTATCCTACCTTCTCCACCTGAGGACTCACCAGCTTTCCATACACCCAGCAGAGCGAGAGAGAGAGAAAGCTGCCGTTCTGTCAGTCAGTTCTACAGGAGATTACCTGGCAGAATGAAGAAAACAGAAAAACAGTTGGCACTGACTTCGGCTTTTATCAACTTGGTCAGATGATGAAGCGAAGGACCTTCGTCTTCACTGCAGTTTCATTTTTTCGGTTTTTCCATTATTTAAATGTTCAAAAGAGCTATCTGAGCTTAATTAATATCTGTAAACCAAGATAACTGCAACAAGTTTATAATTAACCAGTGGTAAACTTAGCTAGCCTGGCTGTTGTTAGCTGTCTAATAGCATGCTAGCTTACCTCACACAACCTGTACCAATGTAAAATAAAGCAGTGAATTCATAAACTTTATATAGTGTAATGTAACGTAGAAAGTTTCACTTTTTAAGTATCCTTTTTTCTCTGTATCTGATCATCACTGCTACGATAATGCTAATCCCAGCTAGACATGTTGTCTATGGGATTTGCATATTAGCGCCAAGCTAAGGGTGGTTTACATTCACATTTCCACATTTACATTTAATACTATATAGCTCTACCTAAAACACTGACTTCCAAAGCTTGTAAAATAGTATGTAACATGTTTTTACTTTATATTGCAGTTTCCGTAAATCTTTAAACCTAACAGGGAGTATTATTAGAGGAGGCTCTTAGGAGCATATTAGCCTTAGAAAGAACAGGTTGAAAAACAATTAAACAGGTGACTCTTTTGTGAAAAATTGTTGACTAAATTCTTTGAAATGTATTTGATTTCATTTCACTACAGATTTAAAATATTCAAAAGATGATACTGTTGATTACACTAATAAATGGCTGTCAATATGTAGTTTTGTACTGCAAATAAGAATACAGTATAATTACTGTAAACAAACGGTATTTTATTAGTGCTTTATTATATTATGTTATTAATTACTGTAAATACCCAGCACCTCACCTGTGTATTTTATTCTCAGTAAGCTCCAAGCTTCACTCACCATCTGTTTAAAACTTAACATCTTTCATCTTGTTCAGGGGACCCAAACCATTTTAGTCGGATTAACAGGAAATGAGTCAGCTTGCTATTTCATTTGTGAAGGCTTGAAGATTCTCTTCACTGGAACATTAAAGGGTCAGACTTCATATACTGAGCTAATTATGCTAATTTCTCATCCAAAATAATGATGAGTCATACAGTGGCCAGTGGTCCGAGGAGGTTTCCTGTCCAAACACACTTCAAAAAGCTTGGAATCTAACCAGAGATAAGTGGCATAGTAACAGTAGAAACAGAACAGAATTACTCTTAATTGCTTCATTTAAGGATGTAAGATTTGAATAAAAAAAAATCCAGTGGTTAAATGCATTGGTTACTGAAATACAGCAAACTGTAGATGTTACAAATAAGCAACTGCATCCTCCAAGTTAGAATCTCTTTATTACAGGTACAGTTTCTTTTCTGGGCCTTTCAGGTTAGAATGTATTTATTCACCTCTCAACTGTTTGTTTATTGTCCTGTGTATAGAGGCACGTCCTGCTTGACGTAATTAAGGTGGCATTCTGCACTAAAACTAGAGTTTAATATGTTATATGTCATATTATGCAGTATTCAGTACTGCACACACACACATCACACAACCATTGGGAATTCCTGTGGTGTCAACCAATCCTCACTGCTTAGCCTAGCTACTGAGCTATAGGCTAATGAACACAACTAAGCCAGCATTATTGTAACTCAATGGTTGTTGGACAAATAATTCTATCTTTATTCAGCACAAAATAAACAGAGGAGATAAGGTTTTACCCTTTCAGTCAGAGAAAAGAAGTTAAACTAATGTAATTTATATAGATAGCCAAGTAGCTAACTTGCTAAATTTGGCCTTTAGCTTTTCAGCTGATGAGCTGTTCAGTTGTAGTTTTTCAAAAATCTTCCACCTTCAAGATACACAAACAGAATGGAGTTTTCCTAGTAATCCTAATAATGATCTAGTTTTCCTAGGAAGTTCACTCAAGAGACTACTGTAGCTCCCCTTATCAGTCAGATCTAAGGCTGTCGTCGTGCATCAGCAAGGTGGAGCTACGACCGAAGAGTTTCTAAGTAAGGGCAGATAAGAGTATATACTTGCAAAATATTCAACTTAATTTTACTAAAACGCTGCACAGATATTAACCTAAGAACAGCCAACGAGTTTGCACTGAAAACCCTGTAGTTATGGAGTAATAAGTCTTAGCATGTAATAAGCCTGGGATTTTACATGGTTAACTAGATGCATATGTAGATTTGCATGCAAGACAGTATTCATTCACCAGATTATCTATGCAGTCCTACTTTTTCTCCTTTTCTCCGTGATCTGTCCTTTGGATGCTGTCTGAGCTGGGGAGACGTGGCAGTCTGAGACAACCTGTCCGCTCCGTTCACCTCTAACACACAGACAGAGTCATTGTTTTGTCTGAGGAGACACAGCAGCTGTGCAGGGTGAGGTGAACAGAGAAACAGGGCTTTGGTACCTCACGCATGGATCTCACTGTTAGGACTGTGCTTTCAGATGCAGCACAGTCTGGGGAAGGTTGGCAATGCAAACAGATGATGATGATGATGATGATGTCCTAAATGTGAAATGTGTTCTAAAGATGGAACCAACATCTACATCTTCAGAATTTCTCAGTGTTTGGTGTGTCCTCCTTTTGCAAGCTGTCATGGACACCATAGGTTTGGGCAAAAGCCTCTGATGAGTAGATCAAATTCACGTGAGAGTCATCAGCACACAACTGTTTCAATTGAAGAAATAAGTCTAAAAAAACTGTAAAATAGCTTTAACATGGTCAATTTTGCTTCATTTTGAATAGTGACATACAAATAGTGCAGATTTCAAAAATTTCTATTGCATTTCAACTATCATAAATTTTCAATTTTTCAAGATTCTAAAACTTTCTGTAGTTTTTTTTACATTTAATGAACTAGACTTTTGTGGACCTACTTCCACTTTAACTATTCCCTCCTTCCAATCATAAAACCAACAACTTACAGCCTCCCAAAAGAGTCACCAACATTATGCTTCTCTTTAAAGAGACATTAATGCTGACTCTTAAAACTACCCAACTAATCTTAGCTGCCTCACACATTTTTTTCTCATGTGCATCCAGAATAGATAAAGGAACAAACAGTTATTTCTATCCATCCTTCCACTATAAGAAGATAACTCAGCACTATGGGTCTGAAAGAACGTGTAGCTGTCAAGAAGCCCTCACTGACAAAAGGAGACACCTGAGATGCGGAGTGAGGTTTCTTGGACTTGTGAGTCTAATTTTGTTGTTTCTTAATGTCCCTTCTGACTGGAAATAAATCAAGGGTGATCTCTGACTTTTGCACTGTATTGTATACATAACCGTAATGTGCCCCATATGGGTTAGCTGGTAAGTATGTATTAATAATAGTATTTAATGGTCAGTTTCACAAATTTGCTTGGTTATTGAAAACTAATGAAAAAACTCACCTAACATCTAAACCAATCTACAGCCATTTTTAATTTTTCCTTTCTCTCCTTCACATTCTCACTATGTACCATGTAGAAGATACACACCCACACAAGCACATTATCACTCAGCTCTGTAATTTACAAGCACAAATTTACTGCCCATATTTGCATAGCTGAGCTGTAGGTACATAAAACAGAGTGTTTCACAGTCACTTTGAGAACCACCTGCACACACACAAACATTAGCTCCTTCTCATAGTTACATTAGTATTTTGTCCATTATATAAGGTACTCACCCAAACATACACATACAAATACATTTAGCTGCCGCCAGACATTAATAAGCTGGCCTTGACTGAATTTTCTGGGCAATAAACACTCAAAATGCCACAGGAAAAAAAAATCAATATTTTATTTCTACAGACTATATCAGACTTGAAGAGCTCTTCCTTAACAGTGTATTTTTATAAGCACACTGTGATATGAGAAATAGTGTAAATTCCAACACAATTTTTATGCTGCAATGTTTTATTCACTCCATGCAATCCAGACTATTTCATTTGTAGAGAGGTTTTACTGTAAATGCTTGAAGCACATTCAGAAATTACATCAGCATTTGATGAGTCTATGACCCTGAAAACCACAAGCTGTTTCTGTTAGAGCTTAACTGCATGTAGTCTGGTTTCTTTTAAACACTGGTGGGGTTTTGCCGCTCCCACCAGTGCTCCTCAGATTTGTATTGTGGTTCTCTACTTACAGATACGATTCAGTGTTCATGTTGTCTTGTATTCTGAAGTTTAAAACAGCTTATGATTGGGTGACATTCTGCTCTGTGTCTGATCCACTCGTACCTGCACAACACACACTAACACACCACCACCACATTAGTGTTACTGCAGTGCTAAGAATGATCCATCACCCAAATAGTACCTGCTCTGTGAGGGTCCATGGCAGTCCTGACCACTGAAGAACAGGGTAAAAGGGGGCTAACAAAGTATGCAGAGAAACAGATGGACTACAGTCTGTAATTGTAGAACTACAAAGTGCACCTATATGGTAAGTGGAGCTGATAAAATGGACAATGAGCGTAAAAACAAGGAGGTGGTCATAATGTTATGCCTGATCAGTGTATAAACAAATAACAAATAACATATAAACAAACATAACTCATGACCGCCCTCTAAAGGTGTTACTGTACCAGTCAGAAGTTCATTGTTTTGGTAAGAGCAAATTAGACGCCTCAATTAATATGTTTTCTTATGTACTTGCCTTAAACCAAGTGATGAACATACACTCAATTCACCCAACTGTGAATAACTAACAGCAAACTACTGTGAAAAATAATTGCAGTCAACTAAAATAACTGCTGGGATGAGTTCAAATTATGTTTATCATCCAGAACTAATCATTCAACATCAGTACTTGACCTCACTGATGCTCTTGTGGCTGAACGCAATCAGATCCTCACAGCAGTGTTCCAACACCTAGTGTAAAGCTTTATCAGAAGAGCAGACACTGCAGCAAACAGCCACAAACCTCCTATTAATGATCTTGATTCCAGAAGAAATGAAGGATGAAAAGGTGTCTACAATC